TGTAAAGCTATTTTATTAAACCCTTTGTTTAAGAAAACAGAGTCGGATATCATAGAATGAATCCAGCGAACCTGTTTTAATACTTTTTGGTCCATAAAGCGCTGGATTTGTTACGCTTATGACGACAGTAAGTTCGAATCCTTTGGCTTACATTGCCGGCATGGTAAGGTAGATTAATTAAGCGATGATCAACGGTTTGCTGGCATCTGAAATATGGACTATTTTGCGGCTGGCTGATGACCGCACATTACATTTCACGTACTGTGAATGTCGACATCAGAATAGCACAGACTTTTGTGTACTTGGCAACTTACATTATGATAAACAGAAACCTATTGAGATTTTTGTAGTTCTGAAAATCAATTAATCTAGCGCAACAGAAGCCATAGGACAGCTGCCAGATAAAGTAACATGCTCTGTTCACGACATCCTTATTTCTAGTTGCCTAGAGGGCCATTTAACCAGTCCATAACTCCTGAGATGCATCTAGCCCTGTATGTGTTCAAAGGCCTTGAAACTGTAACCCGGTGAAATGGCCCTCCTAAATAGCTAGAAGCAGTTGGGTGGTGCAGCAGGGTAAAATATGGTTTTGGAAGAGTCATGTGATATCTGATATATTTGGCGTACGAATAAATTTTGGAGTTTAAGCATGCTCTTTAGTAGTTTAATTACTAGTTTGCATATATACATTATAGTTAACAGTACTTAAAGAATATCTGGCATTTCGTTTAACTCAGGATTGCATAATTAATCGGCATAATGCCGCCGTCCAACGTGCGTTAAAAGCAGCAAAAAAGAGTTTGATATAAACACTGCAATAAGAAGGTATATAAGATGATCTAGTTCATCGGTTTGTTGCATTGTAAACCTCATTGTATGCGTGTTCTGTATAATAAAACGATATGTTTGCTGTTTTCTGTGTTATTACTACTACCTACGAACGAATTGCTCGTATATTAGAACAGTCTTAGGCGTTTAACACAAACAGAATCCAGTACTTAAAAATTAGCAATATTTTTTATTTGCCAGCCGACTAAATTGACGTCACTTAACTTCATTCGAATTTTAGTGTCCGCAGACGTACAGATTGTTCGCTTGTCGTGGAAGAAGAAGAGGAAAATAAGTTAAATAAACGGGCCACCGCTGTACGACCTGCCGTTTGTTTCAACACAGAAAAAGGCGACGATTCGACTGAGGACGTAAACGACAATAAGACCGAAATACGGAACACGACGAAGCAAAGACATTTTTCAAAAGCAGAATCTGTAGAGCTTTCAGAAAATACCGCGAGGGAAGTTAAAGTTGAGCTACTTTCATCCGGAAACGAATCTTTCAAATCTTCCTCGGAATTTCCGCTGCGGACCGTGGTGAATGATGTTCCAAAGGTAAGTTAATTTCACATCTGTTCTGCTTAGAAACCAGTAATGTTACTTATCCTCGTCCCAGTTAGTTTCATGTTTTATCTTGGCTTCTGTAGAGCCAATCTCGCTTTCTTTTGCAACCACTGCCCTCTTTCATCGATGCTTATAGTGTATTTTCAGTTTTATTCTACGAACCTTCATCTTATACACCACAAACTTTGTAGTGTTTATGTAGATTATTATTCTTGACTATTATTGATGATGACTTCTGCGTCAAAATCTGAATCGTCTGATTAAAAGGGAAAGAAAAACCATTTGTCACTTCTAAAGCCATTCGTATTGAAAAGATGTACAGTTTATAACATTGGCATGTATTGAAAATGAAATTCCAAAGCTAAGTCAGTTTATTAGCAAATTGCATTATTTCAAGTTTGCCTTGTCCTAACATTGTTGGAAACCGTTTGTTTTGTCTTCAGATGCTTTACAACTCATTATTGATGAATGTTCTTGAGAGATTTCTTTACTGTTCCCTGTTGTCAGTTTTTTGTGTTCGCCTTCATTCTTTCAACTGCTATGGGGCCAAACTTTCGTTCATTGCGT